TTTTTTCTTTTAGGCAGTTCCTTCCTCATGGCCTTCGAAAAGTAGGTCAAGGTAGCTAACCTGCTTTAGGGAGAAGTGCCAGGGTTCAAGACATCCAGCCTGGTGTCAGGACTCTTGATTCTATTTTCAGCTTCTGAGCTAACAGCTGCATGGCAGTCCTCCCAGTGCTGAGCCCAGCTTTAGGTCTCAGGATTTTTTTTTCTTCCCTGAAGCTGCTGCATCCCCCTGGGGCTGTCATCTCTCTCTCTCTCTCTCTCTCTCTCTCTCTCTCTCTCTCTCTCTCTCTCTCTCTCTCTCTCTCTCTCTCTCTCCCTTCATCTAGGAGGTAGAGCTTTCAAGCTGTCCCCTGCTCACTGCTGGTGCCTGGAGCAAGGATAAGGATGAGAACTGCTGCTGATGGAGAGATTAGAGGCTTTGGGTGGACTTGGCTGAGTGATGGGACGAACAAAGCTCGCTGTCAGAACGCTACAGGACAGGCCTTGGGGATATCACGTGGATACTGATGTCCTGGGTGTGAGGGATTCTCCTGGGCCGTGTGATGGCTGTGGCTTGCCTTCTGCTTCTAAGTCTTCCTTCTGTGGAACACAGAGAAAACCTGGTTCGTATGGAAACTCTAGCAGAGGGGACCATTGGAGCTGTCACCACATAGGGCACTGTTAAAGGGAAACCATATGCAGCAGGGTGCAGTTTGGCTAAAGAATAATCAGCTAGTCTTAGGCCTGAGGAAAAAAGAGTCTTTTTTATTATTAAGTTTTATGTGCATTGGTGTTATGCCTGTGTGTATATCTGTGTGAGAGTGTTGAATCCCTTGCAAGTGGAGTTACGGACAGCTGCGAGCTGGGAATTGACCTCAGGTCCACCTGGAAGAGCAGCCCATGCTAGTAACTGCTGAGCCATCTCTCCAGCCCCTCAAACCAGTCTTAAGAGGCTCCCCCGACCCCTCTAAACCCCCCAGTCCCCACCCCCACGCCCCAGCCACCACCACCGGAGACCAGAACTGGTAGACCTAGGAAGGGGTGAAATGCAAGGACCGAGTTTGGTATGGACAGCTAGAGCGAATAAGACAGGGGAATTAATGCAGGTAAGGACAGAAGCAGGCAGGGTATCAGCTGCCAGGAAGAATCACCTCACTTGAGGTGTGCATTGCAAGGCTTCATGCTGGTAAGGAATCCTTTTGGGCAGTGTTCTGAGCTTGGACATCCTACTCGGCCTCTTGCTGGAAAGCTGTCCAATTTCTCTGCACCCCAGTCTTCCAGCCACAAGGCAGAAAGAGCAGTACAGAGACGCTCCTTCACTGGAATTCTTGTTCCACTCCATAAAACCATTCTAGGAGTTGCGGGTGTAAGGATTCAGGCATTATGCTGGCCTGCTCCTGCCATCTGGCAGAATACATTCAGGCAGTACCCTGGTCAGCCCAGGTGCAAAGGAAAGAAAGACCCAGCTCACTTAACACTCTCTTTCTCGCTCCTCTCTTTCCTGGTCTTCTCCTGGTCTTCCTCCTGTCTCCCTCTTCTCTTCTGTCCTCTCTATGTCTCTGTGTCTCTTTACCTCTGTTCTTTCCTTCTCCCGTCCCTTTATAATAAAAGGTCTCACTTAAGTTCTGTCTGCCTAGCATATTTGTCCCTCTGCCTCGGTCTCCCTTGCCTGCCGTGGAATCCACTAAGGTTCACCACACATTATTCCTAACACTAGAGATGTGGCTCCGCTGGCCAGGTGCTTCCTGAGCTCCTGTGAGGACCAGTGTTTGGATTCACAGCACCCATGTAAACGCTGGGTCAGAATGGCAGCTTGCCTGTAATTCCAGCTCTTGGGAAGAGGAGCTGGGGGGCGGGATCCAGGAGCAAGATGGTTGCCTAATGAACAACTTCTGAGTTCAAGTGAGAGACTCTGCCTCAATGAATAAGATGGAGAGCAACAGAAAAAGAAACCTGACATCAGCCTCTGGCCCTCACATGTATGTGCACACAGGTGTATGTCTCCCCTGTCCCTCCCCCCCACACACAACATGCGCCCACAGCATACATGTGCACACTTTGTGAGTAGAAAATTCACTTACTTCTGCCAACCTACATCATAACTTGGAACACAGTGCACTGGAGGCTACTGCTTACCTCTCCCCTCAAGAACCAAGGGCTGAGTGAGAACTGGTGGTTCACTGTCACTGCCCCGTAGCAAGAGAGACTACAGTGCTATACACTGCTAGGCTGAGAAAACATCAAAATCCCACGTACAGTTTCTACTCAAGGTGTAGTACCTTCACAAAACGTAAAGTTTGGCCATCATAAGTCGAGGAACAGTCTGTACTGAGATCTATGTGAGAGCCTGCCTGACGCAGACCCAATGCCATTCCTCAAGGCAATTTCTTTCACTTATTTTCTGTCCAACCCATAACCTTCTTTGAGATTTCTGTAAGGACAGTGGAACCTATTTAAGATAGAAATCCCAACTCTGGCTTCCCTGCATCCCATAGTTCCCCCAAGGAGTTGATTTCTGTTCACTCCTCACACTGGGACTCTTGAATTCACACTTTGGCTCTACACTGCATCTGTTGTGTTATCCCCCTTCCTCTGACTTTACTTCTACTCAACCCAGACCAAAGAAACAGTCCCATCAGAGTCTCTCTTGGTGAATCAAGGAGCTTGTAGGGATCACTTACAGGCACATGAGTAACTGGGCAGTTGCATCATTGGAAATCCCAACCAGTTTAGGGGAGGACTCTAAAAGCTGCTGCATTGCTGCTCCTTGTAGGACATGCAGGCAGCGACACCACTGGAGAAATCTCTCCCTCCAGCAACTGCTTACTGGTCGTATAACTTTAGGGATGAACCCCGCTTTAATTGCCTTTTTATTGCTTCGATAAGACAGCACAACCAAGACAACTTGTAAAAGAAGGCATTCAGTTTGAGGCTTCCATTTCCAAGGGTAGCAGCGTCCACAGCCATCATGGAGGGAGCATGGCAGCAGGCAGGCATGACTCTAGATCAGCGCTCGCATCTGACCCACGAGCCTGAGGCAGAGAGAAACCAACTGTAATAGTGTGGGCTCCTTAGACCTCAAAGCCCACCCCCAGTGACACACCTCCCCCAACAAGGCCACACAGTGGCCTCCCCAAGAAGTTCTGCCCAAACAGTTCTGCCAACTAGGGACCAGCATTAAAATATGTGAGCCTATGGGGGCCATTCTCATTCAAAGTATCACAACTTCCCTCAGCGATGCACTGTAAAGTTTAACAGTACATAAGCCCTTTCCTCTACAAGTGGGTTTTTGGTCATCCTGTTTATCACAAGAACTGTCTTAACTAGGGTTTCTATTGCTCCTTGCTGTGGAGACGCCATGGCCATTGCAACTTTTTTTTTTTTTGGACAGGGTTTTTCTCTGTGCAGACCTGGCTGTTCTGGAACTTACTCTGTAGACCTAGCTGGCCTTTAACTCATAGAGATCCACCTGCCTTTACCTCCCAAGTGCTGTGATTAAAGGTGTGCACCACTACCACCTGGCCCCATGGCAACTTTTTTTTTTTTTTTTTTTTTTACGAGACAGGGTTTCTCTGTATTGTTTTGGAGGCTGTCAGTCCAGCCCGGCCTTGAACTCACAGAGATCTGCCTGCCTCTGCCTCCCGAGTGCTGGGATTAAAGGCGTGTGCCACCACCACCTGGCCTCCCACGGCAACTCTTATAATGGAAAACGTTTAATTGGGGCTGGCTTACGATGTCAGAGGTTTAATCCATTATCATCATGACAAGACGCATGGTAGCATGCAGGCAGGCGTGGCGCTGGAGAAGGAGCTGAGGGTTCTACATTTTGATCTGCAGGCAGCAGGAGACTGACACAGTTTGGGGTGGAGTGAGCAGTGTCTCCAGACACAGGGGCTGGATCTCTCTTTGGTTTTATCCTTATCTTTCCAAAGAAGATTGGGAGACAAATATGTGGGAGCCCATTACATACTGTAGGTTTCAGGGAAATTCTCAACAGTCCTGCAGGAAGCAAGATTTGAAGAGGGTCATGCTTTGACCTATTATATTTAGACTTACACCATAGCAGGTATGTAGGAAACAGAGCACAAATTAACCTCAAGGTTAAATGAAGTATTAGTAAAACAAAGGCCATTACATTATCTTTCAGGCCCTTCTCTAATTTCTATGATCGGGTAGAAAATGAAAAGCCTCCATCCAGGGGCAAGAGGAGAAATTAAGACAGATACGGAAAGGCCAGGGAAACAGAAGGCAGAGATCCTCAGGGCTTGGGGCGTTGGCCTGAGGTTTCTGCCCCTTTGTGTCTGCTTCTCACTCTGCCAGGTCAGGTGGAAGATACCGAATTCAAATTGGCTCTGGGGCACCACTGGCGAGGATGCTGGTTGCAAACCTTGCAAAGTACAGGCATAAATCTGGAGGGGGAAAAAAAATCAATCGGATTTACTGCAGCCTTTGCAGGATTTCCTGAATACCTGGCCCAGGTAGCAAGCACCTGGCTAGAGAGTCGTAGGATTGGGCTAGAGTTTGGGGACCCAGGGAAAGAGGAGGATTATGACTCAATTTCTGCTCTCTGGAGCCGGTGGCTTAGTCTGAGCATCCTGGATAGAGTTGGAGGAGGGGTGCACCTGCAGCTTCAAGCACCCTGCTGACCTGGGGAATACGTCAGCGACTGGCAAAAGGTTTGAGCCAGGAGCTGGAATTCAGGTGGATGATCCACTGGGTGACCGCGGCAATCAGAATCCTGGCTCCTGGGGGCGTCGGGTTGGCAAAAGGCGCGCCCCAGGCTGGCGCGGAGAGGAGATGGGGGGGACAGGGGTGGAGGCAGGGGGGGCAGGGGTGGGGGCGGGGTTCTTGAGGCAGCCCACCAGTGGCTAAGCGGGAGGGGCGTGGCAGGACACAGCTCCGCCCCCTGCGCGCCGCCCAGCCTGCGGACCAGACCAGGAGGCGGCGGCCAACCTCGGCGCTGAATGGGCGGGTGGCGTCCCGCTCCGTCCCACCCGCCCGCCCGCCGCCGGCCCCCCCATCGGCTGCTCCCGCCCCGCCCGGGTCTCCACCCGCAGCCGCCTGAACCCGCCGGGCTGTGAATGAAAAGCAGGCGCGGCCCGGGACTAGCTGCCAGCGACGCGGCGACGCCGGCCTCCCGGAGGCGCGCTCCCCGCGGAGATGTACGGTAAGAAGGGCTCGGCGCCCCGGCTCGGGCCCGCAAACTTCCAGGACGCGGACCTTTGTCCCCCGGAGTGGCCCCCGGCCAAAAGCGAGAGCGCCGACTTGGTGCCAGGCTGGGCTGTTCTAGCAGCCTTGTGAGCGAGCGTCTGTGCAGAGAGGACAAAGATGCCTCGGGCCGGGGACAACCTGGTCCCCTGAGGTCTTTCAGGCCGGCGTGTGCAGGCGCTAAGGGGCGGTGGTCTGCCGCCGGCTAGGGACTTTGGTGGTGGAGAGACACCCGGCTTTGGGAAAAGTGGGTGTCTCTGGAGCTGAGTTGACAAGGAGTGTTGGCGGAGGCGATCGTGTGACAGACAGTATTTGCGGAATTAACAAAGAGGCTTGTGCTTGGGAGTTTGATGAGCGAAACTGGTCCAGGGTCGAGGGGAGCTGCTCGCTGCCCGTCTGATGCCTGGCTCTTTGGATGTGGGAGGTGGCGCCGGCGGTGCAGGAGCTGGGGAGGAAGCCGGCGCTGGAGACTCATCTCTCCGAACTGGATGGACTTGGCCTCTCTACTTAACCCGGCTGCTGGTGGGATGTAGGCTTCCCAACTTCCAGATTGGCCTGGGTGGGCGGGTGGGGGCTGACGGGAAGAGATGTAGCTTCGAGGGTCTCTCCCAGTTCCACAGCAACCATCCCCACGTATGTGTGACAGTTCCAAGACCCTTAAGGTGCAGGTCTCTGCTTCCTCATTTGCCAAGATTTCCTCTGGTTCGGCTGGCAGTGTGGATGAGGAAACGCTCTCCTTGTGTTCAACTTTGCAGCTCCTAAGAATGGAACACTGGCGATCTGGACGAGGCTAGGAAAATGCCTTGCAGAGCCTACCAGGGGTGTGTATATGTGTGCGTGCACGCGCGCGCGTGTATTCCTATGGACACAGTTTTAGAGCCCACGTCTCTGGTAGTTAGTTATTCGGGGGCCAGCAAAAGAGCCGGAGTCATTCTCATTCCCTGTCCTGTTGCAGAGTAGGGGCTGGGACGGCACCTGAGGGGTGAGTGAGCTAGAAGAGCTCCTTCCCAATTTAACCCATCTCTAAGGCTGCTTGCTGGCTGCCTCCTCGAGCAGACCATGAGTCACAAAGTTTGTTGGCACAGAGGAAGCTGAGAGCATGCTGAAGAGGCTCGGCAGTCGTTGGGCCCCCTGGTTAGAAGGCAAAGACTCAACTTTTGTATGCATCTCCTTCCCTGGCCAGCTGATCACACAGCCACGCTGTGATCCCTGTGGAGGTATCAGCAGGTCCTCATAGCGAGTACTAATTCTCTTGGGTGGACCTGGTGGGGGAGGGGCGACTTGACCTCAGAGCTGGACCCATAACCAGTGGGGGACTCTGAAGGAAGGTGACTAGGCTTGTACTTTTGCCTGTTGGGAGGATGGAAGAGCCATACACCTCTTTTATTCTGTCTACACCCCCTTCTTCTCTGCAGAGGGAGTAGCCTGAAGCTGCAGATCACTTGACAGGAACATGTGACTGCAGGGGCACCTGCAGCAGGGAAGGAGTTAGGACAGGCCCTATTAGTATGGGCCGGAACTGGCAGCCGTGGGTCACCACATTACAGCTAGCAGATAATGTGGTAACTTAGTTAGGGTGTCTGAGAATTGGGGTGTGGGGTTCCAGGTCTATTCCTGTTGGAAGAGCTGCCTAGAACAGACGAGGAACTGGGGAGCCAGCCTTCACTGCGTGCTATTTTCAGATGCACCACGGCACTTCAATTCTCTTTAATAATGTTTTTATTTCCCCAGATGCAGACAGAGCAGGGGCTTTAACTCTGAGTGATTCATAGAAAGACTATGATGAAGGACTCCTCTGGGTAGCTGCCTACAGCGCAGGAAAGTCACATTAGTGCTGGATGTAAACTGCCCCCCTTGCAAAACCTGGACCCCGGAGTTGTCTGGGAACAAGGAGTCTCGCTTGTCTGCCTGCATTTTAGTGTGGTCTTGCCTTGGTGAAAAGAAGGACTGTAGAGCTCTTACATTCTCTCCCTAGAAGTCAGTGATGGAAAAGGATGCTAGTAGGGTGTGTGTGTGTGTGTGTGTGTGTGTGTGTGTGTGTGCAGGCATTCTAGAGGCACAAGCATTCTAGAAGGGTCACTGCAAGTTTGAAGACAGCCTGAACTACATAGTCAGTTGCAGGTTAGCAGGGATGCACAGGGAGAGACTGGGGAAAAAAAGACAAAAGATGTTAGTAGCGTCTCGCCTTAGATGTGAGTGGTGAGAGGCACATGGCATTATGGACTTATGGATTGTTCTTCCCGCCAATTTTCCAAGTGACTTGCCCAGGGTGGAGTTAAGGTAGGGTAACACCTGGTCTCTGGGCTCAGTGCAGGCCCCGTCCCCCTTCTCTAATGTCACTGACGAATGTGTATTATAGGATGCCACCAGGCATTTTATGAACTGATAGACTGTAAGGACATGCAGAACCAGAACGTGCCTAAGAGCTTTAGATGATGGTGACCTTTGACCACCCGCTTTGGAGACTCCATCGTTATAAACTCAGATCCATGAACTGTGTCCAGGCTGCATCCTCGCTCCTTGCCAGCTACAGGCAGATCTTCATTCCCCTCTTATCGCCCTCCACAACTCAGTCATCTTTTGGGGTGGGGTGGGGCTCAATCGTCTCCTTCATTTGCCCTACAGGAGACCAAAGGTCTTTTGTCTTTCCTGGAGGACATAGTGGGATCCTAGACCTGAGGTCGGTGAAGCTCAACCCAAGAGCCGTTCCCTCTCTCTGGCCTTAGGCAGGTGCAGCCATGCCTCTGAATTCTGTTTCTCTATAAAGCGGTGAGATACCCACCTACCTCCCAGGTCTGTTGTGCTCCCAAAGCCAAGCAATGGTGCCAAGAGCATCACAGGAGGTGTGCATCTGCATGGCAGGGCACAGGAGAGCCTGTCCCTTTTGGGTCTTTTGGGGTTTCTTGCACATGCAGGAACTGGCAGAGAGTTTTGGGTCTCTTGGGGTTTCTTGCATGTGCAGGAACTGGCAGAGAGGAGAAGCAAGAAGCCTCAGCACATGCATCACCTTGACCTTGCTAACTGTGGGCCGCTAAACAGCTCCCCCCTCTCCCTTTTCTCCTTTTATTGAGACAAGGGTCACATCGTGTATCCCAAGTTAGTCTTGAACTCTTCTTTGTACCTTTGCCTCCGCGCTGTGGGATTACTCACGTGGAACTACACTCAGCCCAAACTATTTTCTTTCTCATTTCCTGACCCATCCAGGCTGCTACTACCATCCACTCAGCCCCAACCCACAGTCACTCTCTGAAATGGCACTCCAAAGGGACATGAATTACTTCCTACAGTCTTTTTTCGTTTTCTCAAGACAGAGTTTTTTTTGTGTAGCCCTGGTTGTCCTGGAACTCCATGTGTAGACCAGGCTGGCCTTGACCTCAGAGATCTGCCTGCCTCTGCCTCCTGAGTGCTGGGATTAAAGGCATGCGCCACTACTGCTTGGTCTTATCATCTTGATTATATCTATGAATGTGGATTGACAAGAGTCATGGGGAGAAAAGTACTTTGTCCTGCAGAGAGGGTCAGTTGCCAGACAAGTTCTATGCAAAAGTGAATCCCATTTTTTTTCTTTGGTTTTTCGAGACAGGGTTTCTCTGTATTGTTTTGGAGGCTGTCCTGGAACTTGCTCTGTAGACCAGGCTGGCCTCGAACTCACAGAGATCCGCCTGCCTCCGCCTCCCAAGTGCTGGGATTAAAGGCATGTGCCACCAATCCTGGCCCCCATTTTCTTTTGATTGGGATTATATAACTAGGATTTAACCTGTTCCTCTCACGTGGGCCAGAGCCTTGAGAGCATCCCATTCCCCCACTGATACCAGATCCAGCTTCCCGAGAAGGTGCCTCTAGAGACTGAGCAAGCTGGCCACGAAGAGTAAAGAGAATAGAGAGGGTTTCCCCACCACACTGTGGTCTGGGCAAGCTGGTCCCACTGGAGCTAACACTGCTCTGACTAGATCCTCTGTATCCTCAGCTTGTGGCTACCTTCCTGCTTTGTGTGGGAGAATGTTCTCTGTAGGGAGAGCAATGGCGTCCGGCTTTTGAAACGGTGCTTAGTGCATCCAATACACACTGTAGAGCTGTTGTAAATGGAGCAGAGAAACTGCAGGGCCTGGCCAATGCTCCCTGAGGTCCAAACTCACCTTTGCAAAAATCTGCCTGCTAGCCTCTGTGTCTCTGTCTCTCTCTTACACACACGCACACACACACACACACACAGACACACACAGACACAGACATGCACAGACACACAGACACACACACACTCACAGACACACACCCTCGCACACACACACACACACACAGACACACACAGACACAGACATACACAGACACACAGACACACACACCCTTGCACACCCACACACACACACACACACACACACACACACACGAACACACTGACCTCCCCTGCAGATCTTGAGTCTCCTGCACTCATGGTACCAGGCATTCAGGTGTGTACCCTGCCATTACCTATACCCCCATTCTTCTCCTTTGGAAGAGGCCCTGTGGGCAGAGCCTGGCTTCTGTCTCTTTCTGCTCTCAGTTCGGTCATTCATGCTGTTGCAATGCTGTTCTTTCATATCAATTAAAACAAGAAAGTTAATATCGCCTTACAGAAGATCTGGAAAAGAGAAAGGGGGGAAATCCTCCCTTCACAACTGCTTATTCAGACCTATCTTTTGGGCTTGGGATTAGCTCAGAGGTAGAGTCTAAGGCTTGATCCCCAGAGCCACAAAACAAACACAGAGAAACAACCCCTAAAGAACAAGCTACTGAGCTGGGCAGTGGTGGTGCACACCTTTAACCCAGCACTGGGGAGATAGAGGCAGGGTGATCTCTGTGAGTTCGAGGCCAGCCTGGTCTACAGATTGAGTTCCAGGACAGCCAGGGTTACATGGAAAGGCACTGTTTCAAAAAACAAAAAAACAAAACTACAACAACAAAAAGAACAAAACCACTGAA